CCTGTTGACTACCTCCAATCATCATCTTATCTCAACATAGTGCACTCAATGTTGACGCACCTAGACTAGTGGCCACATTGCAACTTGGTCGACAGCATTCGATCTGCACCAAATAAGGACTTGACAAACATGACATCGATCACCACCCAGTGATCAGTCAATTGTGGAAGTTGAGCATGTCAACCAATTTACTACAGTTTGAAGTCATATTTACCTTGATAGACTGGAGCCTAATGAAATCATAGTATAAATTAAGAATGTTCAATTAGTGTTTGCCGAATGGTGCCACATGTTGTATGGATGAGTTGTCTGTCGATCAACTAAAGGACGAGTGTATTATGCAATAGTTCGTTCTGTTCTGTATTTAAAAATTGAGGATATTCATTGGTTACCAATATTCGATCACAGATCATTGATCATAGAGTACTAGGTAAAGATGGAAAATTGACTGATGAGTTAGTAAATATTCTTCTATTGAGGTGGTTGAGATATTTGTTACGTATGCCCAACCACCGCCTACATTGATGACGGATGTCTAATGTACGAGTAAGATGAAAGAAAGCTAGAATCGGCTAAACCGAGATATAACATCAGTCCATGAAATCAGTGACAAATTTAATGAGCCATATATATAAGTTTACACTAATAGATTGGAGTACATATGGTTACTATAACCAATGACTGGAGACATTGAGGGATATGGCTCAGGTTCATTTATTCCTTGTCGTCCATTAGAACTTGAATCCTTAAATTCACTTACACCTTTGCTCATTTTTTCCCCTTTTTTTTAACGCTCAATCTGATAATATTCAATGTTCATATTATAAAAGGAGAATTAGTCATCATCTATTCACAAATTTTATTGGTTCGAATCTCGCGGGGTGCGGGATTGTGAATGCGCACTGCTGAGGAGTCCCGTACTAGAATGAAACAGCTGCCCAGTGCTTCCAGGTTTTCCATGGCGGTCTAGCTTCAATTGACTCATGATTTCAATCAAAAACGTAACAATCTCCACAACCCCTAAACTGATAATTGCCATACTTCATTAGCACAGCAAGGTGAACACCAAGTTCATAGAAGTAGTTACTTGGATGGTAGTAATATATAAAAGAATGACTACGTATAAGGATATAAAAATACAGGAAGAAACAAATAGTTGGTAGAAAGAAAGATATAAAGCAGTTTTAATCTCACAGTTTAAAGGAAGACAAAGAGTGTATAGACTAATGTCATTGTGATCGATTCTGATCCATGTCAAGATTATAATTTATGGACGAATCAATTAGATTTAAGATAACTAGATGTTGAATTTTTGGAGTGAAATTCTGAAGGTCATTTTAGCATCGCTCAAATATCGTCTATAAATTATAGTCTCATCGACCTGTCTCCAATCAACGCAGATTCGCCAATAATCTGAAATGATAATAGTTAGTGTATGATCACTTCAGTATTCATTTATTATTACACTTGCTTTTTTGAAGATAAAAAATATTGACCATTCGATGTACAGTTCATACAACAAAGTTCCAGAACAGTATATTGTATTGTTGAAAAGAGTTAGAAGTAGATTCATAGGAAGTTCAATAAAAGAACACTTTGTGAATATGTGTTATGTCATCATAAGTGACTTATCCTTTCCAATCATGTATTAGCTGCATAGAGACAGTGTTCTTCTGTCTCATTTAGATTGCTAAAGTCTTTATCATTGTCACGGAAAGCTCAAATTGTTTTCTTAAACTCGCATATTCACTCCCTTCTGTGGTCGATCTCGATAATTTTATCTTCACTGGTGCTAATCCGTGTCAGGTAGAGACAGGTATTTACCTCAAACAATGGAAGATGGTTGCAAACCTCATTGGATTAGTTAAAATTAGATATTAACGCCGTTGGATGACAGTTCAGTGGTCTAGAGGTTAAGTGTTTGCGCGCGAGGCCGATGGTCCTGAGTTGGAGTCACATGTGCAGGATCATGGATGAGTACTGCTGAGGAGTTAGTTCCGTTTGTTAGTTATAGATACCCAACTATGTGGTGTGATAAATGTGTGTTTACACATGTCAAGTACTACTCAGTCCAGATAAATACAAAGTGGTATGTTCATACATCATTTCAATTTATTTACGGGATCTAATACATATTATTAGTCCGTGTGTGTTCACTATTTGTTGTCGGATTAGGGTTTTCACTACCAATCAGAAGCCAGTTAAACATTCGTCTGATATAATAGTGACAGACATAACGCATACAATTTTATGCACTAGCTCGATAGTCGCCGAAATTATTGACTGAAAAGGTTTTGTGTAGATCAATGTAATGCGTATTTTGTATTCGTTACAGATTGATCTTAGGGTGTTGTCTGGTCTAGGAACATTCAGTAGTGAACACTCACTGCCCTATAAAATATTGGACCCAAAATCTTTAGGTTTCACGACGAAAACTGGACCATTAGAATCACTTCACCGACATTCATTAGTTCAATTCTGACTTCAATCAGTTTGCGATATAGGATGATAATCATCTAGCATACACAAACTTTACCAGTTACGAATGTTCATTAGAACTTCAAGACTATTTTGAAGAAGATTACTAATAAGCTGATTATTACGGTTTGAATGAAAGAGCTTTGTACAAGCTGATTTAACTAGCATGCTGTATATGTTCACGATTTCTGACAGTGTAATGTTAAAATACATACAGATGCTTGGTTCTAGTATAGTACTCAGTAATTTTAGTCCATGACACCATCAGAGACCTAACTAAGGTGCTTCAAGTCTCTTGACGAGCGCTGACTGACATCCATTGGCATGAGTTTCTAACTCTAGTCAATTCACGAGATTGGGTGGTTATCATCCATTAACCATATCATCTTCATCTCATGTATGACATTGTTAAAACTCCACTGGTCATGATTCCTCACTAGAACCATGCGAATTATCTCATCAAGTTAATCACTAGTGAGCACATGTATTTTGTTAGTAACATGAAACAAAATGGTTGTTTTGTGCTATTTGATTTTTAATGACTATTTAAATAAAATCAGTTAGTGATACGAGATGACAAAATTCAACACTCTCCGTGGACCATCTGTATTACAAACAATACGATAACATTGTTCATACCTGAATTGAGATCGAATAACCTGGATTCGATTCACGGCTATGGAGTCATGTATATACACTACTGAGGAGTAACATACTGCAACAAAACAACCATCCAATACTTTTAGGTTTTCAATAGTTATAATCAGGGAAGGGTTTTTGTGGATATTATAGTAATTTAAATAGTTGAATTCATGAATCAATTGAAGCTAGACCGACAGTTGTTTAAGTTAAATGAAACCTATTTATATTCACTTGGTTTTGTTTACTTGTATCTTCCCATTGTTATTTAGTATTGCAATTCATCAGTCACTTGTTAGCATATGTACATCCTGTGCAGACTGCATCGATATTGCCTGAAGTCACAAGCAATATAAACAAAAATGAATAGTGGCTAGAAGTGGAATCCATGACACGTATTTCGTCGTATTTGGGATTCGTCAGCTAGATGTACCTGAATCTCAGGGTTGATGTTCACTCTAGGGCTAAGTGGATAACACAATCGTGTTTGAATTGAACGGTGTTGGGTTCGAGTCCCAGAGTTAACATCAACACAGATTCAGATATATTCAGCTGAAGAGTCCAAAACAAGACGAAACGCGAGTCATGGATTCTACTACTAGCCACTATCCATCTTTGCTTATGAAACCTATTTATTTTTTGCATAATATTACATAATTAACATTATGGAAAGAGGAAAAAACATTGTACGAGCATTACATGTACCTAAATAAATGGTTACTCTGGTTGTCAGAAGGGCCTCGTGACTTCCGAAGAAACTCGGCTTTCATCATGAGGCGTCCTTACTCTTGTAAATGAAGACCTATCTCCCAGGACAGAGTTTAAATGGTTTGAATTATTTTTTTATGGTTGACGCTTTCTTAGCGAATTAGTTTTCTACGGGATGGGGTCGCTAACCTCATGCCCAACTCTCCTCCTTTATCCGGGCTTGAGGCCGGCAGTAGCCCCCGGGGGGGGGGACTCCAGGCGGAGTTATAATGATTGTAAGTGAATCAAAATTATATACATACATACATTATACACACACAGACATCTAAATAGACAAAATCATTTAATCCGTATATAGAGTTAAACACAAAAATGTTTCCATCTCAAAATGAATTAATTACCCACCTTGTTTATCTATCTATCTATCTATTACAGAAAATAACAACAATTTTCATCCAATCAAATATTCACAATTTTGTACTCATGACAATTTACTTCTCTTTCCTAAAATTTTTGTTGTTTGTTTGTTTGTTTGCTTTGGATATACTATCCTGTCCTACACTATCCTATCAATACGACATTAGAATATACACCTATACAAAATGTATTCTCGAAATAATCATAATCATGATAGAATAAAAAATTTCTCTGCCTAACCTATAAAAACAAATAGGAAATTAATCCACCCTAGTTACTACTCAAAATTCAGATAATTTTCTTTCTTTTTTTCTTCTTCTAAAAACCCTTTCATGATGATTTTCATTTAAACCAATACACGGTTTATTTCATTAGTGATAATGTATATAAATATAATTGTTGGCAATCATGATAGAAAAGAGAAAGAAAGAAAGAGACAGAGTGGGAGTGGGAGAGTAAAAGACACTTTATGGATTATCACAGTTTGTTGTGAAGAGACTATATAATCAAAAACGGGGGTGAGGGGTGGGGTGGAGGAACTCAATGAAACTTGTGGATAACATATGTGTCTAAACATAGATTGCATTTTTTGAAAAAAAGAGATAAGAATAACATAACTGTACAGTTTTTTTCTTTAACACTTCAGAGATATGTCGGTAAAAAGCAACATAATGTAATATTATGTAATAGATATATATATAGATATATGTAATACAGTTTATTGCCCTTAAATTGATATTATGTAATTGTTGCTAAGTATGTTTCCTAATCTTAATCAATCACAAATAGATGAGCTTGATCATAATAATTCCAATGATATTCATTTATTGAATTCATCATCTTCTGTGACATTATCATTTTCTTCAATGTCATTCACTTCATCAAAATCGACACCAACGTCGTCGTCGTCGTCATCATCCTTATCTCCTTCGTCTGTCACTTCACCAACATGTTTAACTGTATCATCAATTCATGAAATCTATCAATGTCGTTCATTTATGATACACGATATTTTAGATAAATCTAAACAGACTACTTATAATACTACTATGAATAATAAAGATAAACTATACAAATCATATAATGAACAAATTAAAACATTTCCAATGATCAAACCAATTATAAATGATTATGAACGAAATGATAAATATCATATGAAACGAAAATATACTAATCATAATCATGAGAATGATCATGATAAACGTGTAGTTACCACAGCAACAACAACAACCACTACCACCACCACAACAACAACACCATCCTTGATGACAGTAAAGGAAGATTGTAATTCATATATGAATGTAGATCATAAAAATTTGTCAATAAATCTTACAAAATATCAATCATATGAACAATATAAACAATCTATGAATGATACAACACAATTGATAGAAGGGAATGTAAAACAACTTTATACTGTAACAGGTAAATATTGTATCTAAGTAATAATAATAATAATAATAATAATAATAATAATAATAATAATAATTAACACCGTTGGATGCCGATCGGCTCAGTGATCTAGAGGTTAAGCGTTTGCGCGCAAGATCGATAGGTTCTGGGTTTAAATCTCACAAGGCAGGATCATGGATACCCACTACTGAGGAGTCCTACGATAGGACGAAACAGTTGTTAAGTGTTTTCAGGTTTTTCATAGTGGTTTAGCTTCAATTACTTCATGGTTTGAACTACTGAAATAGTAATAAGTATTTGTAAGGGTATGTTGATCTATATTGCATATGTGTGCATACTAAAAGGATCAGGTCAATATATCGACATTTTGTCTTATATTTCTTTTATAGTCAAGTTGAATAGAGGCTATCAATGAAACTTAACACATGTGTTTCATTCTATTTTGGATTCATCAGTTGGGTGTCACTGCTTTTAATAGTTGAGATCATGAGTCAATTAAAGTTAGATTACCATGGATAACTTCAGAGTACTTTCATAAGAATGATCCTTCGTTGTTTACTTCAACTATTTTGAAATGTTCTAGTCATACATTACATATCGGTATTTGACAGTCTAATGGGATTATCATTCTATAATCAGTAGGACATATAAGTTATAGTATTGATATATTGATCTAGATCAGGAAGCTGACAAGATGTAGAGGTCCCAGTGATTTAATTTATAAAATTATAAAATGGAACGTCTACAGTTCCATTTTTGAAGATTGTAAAGAGATGGTATAGAGACTATAATGATACATCACGTGGTTAGCGAGTTAGTTTTCTACGGGATGGGATCGCTAACTCCATACTCAACCCTCCTCCTTTATCCGGGCTTAGGACCGGCAGTAGCACTCGGAGGGACTCCAGGCGGAGTTAATGCTCCTCGTGGAGGAGCATAGGCTACCCATTAGTACTAACACCAATATATACAACCAAATATGACATTACAGAATCACTTAGTAAAATCTGAGAACCATACAGTAAGTAATTCATTTGCAAGATGTTAATTAATTGTCTCAGACTTCATTGTTCTTTCGTTTCCATATCAACCATTCTTTGTTGTCGTTCTCTTCTTCGCTTCAATTTTCTCAACGTTCTGCTGATAGGCATTTCAATTCTGATTGATGATACATACTACTTATATCTGTCGACATTAGTAACACACACACATAGGTATCTATTAACAACATAGACAAATGAAGTAGAAATGTGTAACAGCACACATCAAACAATAACGGATGTTAATCAAGTTTATAAATATATTATGCAATCAAATTACTTCTTAATCCCTTCATCAGTGTTTACCTTTATTGATCTATACCACTCTAGTCAAGTCAGTAACAACGTAGAACTTCGTACGTACATACATCAGTTCGAGTTGCCATACCGCATTAGCACAGAAATGCAGTTGTCGATTCAAATCCTGTAGTGGTAGAGGTAGTAAGAGTATAAACAGTAATCGGAAAAATTAGGGTTTGAAAATGTTTTTCAAGGAGTATAATCCTGTGAAATATCACTCCAGTGTTAGCATTTGTGCCCATTTTAAGATGATGGAAAAGATTTGTAGCTCAGATGGATGCTTTCACCAACTTTAGGTTGTTTGTTCTGATGATATCGTTCAGAAGAACGATGAATGCTTCACAATCAAGCCATTCAGCTTAGAGAATAAAACTCCATCAAAATTTTATGCCAATCTTATCTTCTCGATACTTACTCTTATTAACAATAAACTGTAGTAACCTAGTCTATTGTTGAAGTTCTGAGATGGTGGAGAAGATTTGTAGCTCAGGTGGATGATTTTGATGAAGTTTTGTTCTCTGGGCTGGATGGTTTGGTCATGGAGCTTTCATCGTTCTTCTGAACTTGTTGAAGTTCTTCGTTATTAAATTAACTATTCCAAGAAATCTTCAAAAAATTATTTTATTGAATGAGAAACAAAGTTATGTCATTCAACTGTGATTAACCAGAGATATAATAATGATATGAATTACAAGTTTATGGATCCTATTCAGAATGATGGTTAACATCTAGATTCCAAATCATTGGTTTATAGGTTAAACAGCTACTGAAAGACCTAAAGGTACTGAGTTCGACTCCTGATGACGTCTTGGCTACTTGTTGTTCAGTCATCTGTTAGTGTAAGATTACAGTTATTTATTTCTCTCTAGTTTCAAATCACATCCTAACTAATGGCAATTCGGGTCAAATACCATTGTGAATAACTCAATATTTATAGTTAGTGCTCTACGAGATGGTGTTGTTAGCTCTATGCCCAACCCTCCTTCTTTATCCGGGATTTAGACCGGCAGTAGCCTTAAAGAGGTTCCAGATGGAGTTTTAACAAAACATCTTAACACTAATTCTACTACTTATTTCACGTATTTTAAGTAATATAGCGAGGGACTTTTGTTTTAAAGCTTTGATAATTTTTATTACAATATATCAAGTGATGGAGAAGATTTGTAGCTCAAATGGATGATTTTGATGGAGTTTTGTTTTCTGAGCTTGATGGTTTGGTCGTGGAGTGCTCATCCTTCTTCTGAACGACATCATCAGCACTTCTAGCTGAAGTTGTGTATAAACAAAACTAGAAAACTATCAGTAACATTGGATGTTTTTATGGCTTATTATAAAGTATGCAAATCATAATCTTTAGATGTGATGATGAACATGACACAATCGATTAATCAAGTCCATTGGATCATTTTAAATTATCACTGAGTAAACTTCCACTTATTCCTTACATGAATGTCTTCAATTAATCACAATATCTGGTTATAACTTAGAAAAATCAATCTCATAGCTAATCACCAATGGCAAAGATGACTATTATGTATCTAGGTGATTGAGATACCACCGTGCGTAATTCAAAATGATATAAAAGTACTTTAGGGGTGATAAAAAACAAGATTTGGCATCACTCCATGAAGTGAACTGTTGATTTGAATCATGATGATAGATACAAAAACTATCTAGCTAGGGTCTTCATGCCTTGTTTTAAACTTAATTCTCTAACGTTCAATCATTGCCCCTTCCAGACAAATAAGTTAGTGAAGCTTAGTAGGCCCTTCTGGAGAGGAACAGGCCATATCAAAGCACAACACAATTACCGAGGCTAGAATAGCTGTCTTTGAAATCTGTTGGAGTATGTCCCGTAGGGAGCAGCCCCATGCATTCCATGCAATACTTTTGTGATTTTTTTATCGTTTTTCGATGCAGGAGTAATTGTGCTGTGATTCTTTGTGGGTTTTGTAATCAGTTTGTGGGTATCGGTCGACTGGGTGATTAGCCCGATCTCTACCACTCGGGTTACCGCTCATGTTAGTTCATGGGTCATCCGTCCCACTGTCTAGGAGGCATGACGAGAACGTGTGAGTAGGGTTTTGCCTCCCAATGTTCAATCATTATTCTACATTATTAATACAACATTTATTTCAACTTAAAATTTGCTGTTCATAGAGTTAATTAGATTGATTGTTTGGAATGAATTTTAATGAGTGCAAATGAGTTTCACTTACTTATGCCTGTTCCTTCCAATCGAGCATAGGCCGCCCACCAGCATTCTTTAGTCCACACTGTCCTGGACATTCCTATCTAGTTCTATCCTATCTCATATCTATCTCCATTTCTCGGCATAATGTGTTCTTTGATCTTCTTCGTCTCCTTTAGCCTTGAGGATTCCAAGTATGGGCTTGCCTTGTGACTCAGCTGGGTGCTTTCCTCAGCAAATGAATAGTAGTAACAATTTAATTTGTAATAGTTTGGATTACCTTGATTTAAGTGTTTCTGACTGATTTTTGATCAGTTTTTGTTAGTTTATGTACATCCTATACGAGTTACTTTGATAAAGACATTATGTCACAAGTTTATATAGACTAGATAGCAGAGACATCCAAGAGATATGGTTCGTTTTCACCAACTCCAGGATGTAGGTACATTCGGTTGATGAGTCCCAGATATGACGAAACACGTGTCTTCAATATATATCAGGTACAGTATTATAGAGCGTTTTTCCTATTCACTTGGTATTGTTTGGCTTCTATCTTCTCATTGAGGTTTAAGATTGCAATTGATCAGTCTGTTATTGGTATATGTGCATACTGTGCGTATGCCTCGATATTACCTTAATTCACAAGCTAACAGGAGTGGATAACACGATGGCGTTTGAAACGAATGGTACTGGGTTCGAGTCCCAGAGTGAACATCAACTCAGATGCAGGTACATCCAGCTGACGAGTCCCAAATAGGCCGAAACGTGCGTCAAACTGGATTCCACTGCTAGTCACTATTCATCATTGCTTACAAGAAGATTTTTTCCTATTGTTTGTAAACATTTATTCTAATACATTTGTATCTTATTCTTCTAGAAGAAATAGAGAGAGAGTGATGTGAATGATTGTTTATAAGGTATGAAATCTCCTTCCACTATTATATTTATGATAATGTCAAAAGATTCACCACTTAACTCATCAATAATCTTCAACATTATGCATAAGCAGTTGTCTTTTGGGTTTTTCGGTAGCTCTCCTTAAGTCACTAGGACCATTATTAATCCACTTTCCTTTTCAGATCTCTGAAGGAGTAGTATTCTTCCATTATTTAAGTAAAGGTAAAGTGAAAATTATCTTCATACCTCCGAAAGCATTTGAGATCATCTTGATATTAGCAATAAGCTTTACATCTGATGAGATGAATTAGATCTAATCTAAGTAGAAATCATTCAATGAAAATGATAGAATTAGAAGTAGCTTACTGAATCCATGTTCAAATTTATCTCTACTTAATTCAAACTCACATCTTGGATTTCAATGCTAACCATCTGCTATCTCTGTTTATGATTTCATATAGTGATTAAATGTCATTTTTGTAAATATTCACGCACACATACACACAACAGCATTCTTCTATCACTGGATTTAATTGGACACATGAATTCTATAGTAGTCATGGGTGGTTACCCCTTAAGAAGTA